TTTATTTTTTAAACATCTTCTCTTTCAAGTTGGTCAGAAGGTTCCTTTGTAAGTGCGCATGCGCCATTAGCGTGCTGCCTGCTGTAACCCTAATTTCCTTCGGGATTAATAAAGTATTCTGATTCTGATTTCACTTCTGCATCTCTATGGTGCGGTTAGCGTATATTGCTAACTATTGCATGATCCGCCATTGCTGTAAAAAAGGAAATGGTCCGTTGGCGTGAATGGGGATGACGCGGCTCTGGTTCTGATTTCCGACGTAACTGGAATGTTAAATTGGATTTCCAACTCAGAAAGTCGAAGTAGCTCCACCAATGAGTGTAAACAGTAATCCAACCGTATCATCTGTTCGGCCACTGTTGTGTATTTGTCACGGACTAAATAAACCATGCGCAGAGCGCTGGTTAGGCTTTGTTCGTGAACGTACTGCAGCGGTGTTTTATGAGGCATAAAAGCATTGCGCTATGTTGCTAGCGATGCCCGAATGGCTCTGCTAACGAGTAAAACAGATCCATATATTCTTGTTTTTCCCGACTTTACACCTTGAGAGTAACGCCAGTCTCTGCTCCAACGAAGCAAATGGGTCGCAGCATAACAGCAGCAAAGCTAACAACAAAGCGGCTAGCCGCTAGCTCCTAGCTGCTGTAAAGATAGCCTCTTATTGCAACATCAAACTTACAAGGTTGAGCGGGCTGTCCACGACCTCCATGGAGTCGATCCTTCGACGGCTTACACTACAGGAAACGCGCCTCTGTCCCTCACTGACTGTCATCCGCACTGAGATTCAAAAGCTCGAATAAAATAATTACAAGACAATTACTGTAAAGGAAGCAAGACTCGCCTCGCTGCACAGCCACAGCAGCGTCGTGACATCACAGCTAGCTTGCATTTTGATTGGTCAACTGTGGCGCTGGGTCGGCTTTCTTCTTCTTCTGTTAATTATTTTAAAGGCGTCGGTAAAACACGCAGCAGCATCACCGCCTGCACGGACGTGTGGACAGATTAGCAGAGGAAACGAGCTGTATTCTCACTCCTGTAGTTCAAAGATGCTCCTGTAATAATAAAATAATCTGTGGTGCTGCCTCTAACATTTCAATCACGCTACTAAATCTCTCCCCACTCGCACTTATTGCATTTTTAACAGTTTCTGTCATAATAGAGTAAAGACGGGGTGTTACTGGGTGTAGTGTATGGGTCAGTCCTATATGTCCTATTCTTACCTGAGAAATGATCTCCTGCTTTGGGTTCCTGCCCTGCATGCTGTTCAAAACTACTTACTACTTATTGGATTCTCTGTAGATGTAT